ATAATTTTTCTGTGTATTTAACAGTCTATAAAGAAGAGAGAATGCTTTAACTTTGATCGCCACAATTAGTTCCCTGGGTATCTAGAGGGGAACAGGGCAGCCCTGGGAGCCTCAGTTCTTTAGATACAAAAGCATTTAGATCGCTTTAGAGCAGTTAATCCTGAGACTGGCTAGGGTCCCTTTTGTTTTCTAACTCCATTGTGGGTTTTGTTCAGTTTTTTCTATTCGCATGATTGACTGCCCAATGGATGCTAATTATCCAAATGTCGCTTCTGTCCTTTGAGTGACTTTCTATGTATTATGGGCAACTGTCATGCATTCTGTCATTCTATATCATATTACATGTATTATCATATGAAAATGGTACTCTGCATAAAGGAAGGTGTCTGAACCAGCAGATGCTGCAGATATTTAGAGGACTTGCTTAATCTGAATGGATTTTCTATAGAAAAATTGGTCAGAAAGAATATAGGGGAGTGTCAGAAATGGAAAGTTTATCAGGTAATTATTTTTGTCCTTTTGCTGTTTACATGATAATGTACAAAGCATTAACTGTCTCTGCTTCTGAAATCTGCAGCCACCTTCCTCCTCCTGAACCAGGCAACCCGTCTGTATTTATTAGAGTATGACAGCTTAAGCTAATTAAACTGATATCTGTCTAAAATAATAAGCCCAGAAAGTTAGAATAAACATTATGATTATAAGCAGAAAAGGCAGCTATACAAATGTAGCATCAATGTTATATTTTAATGATAATCTGAAATTTCTGTATGAAAAACACTGGAAGTGGAATTGCAAACAATAATAAAGTTCTGCAAAGACATTTTTTACTATAAGTAATTTTACTTAGATCTTTATCTCTTTACATGTTATTAATAAGGACTAGCACAGCTGTGAGCTTGCATATTTATTTTTTAAATTTATAAATACATGAACATGTATTTCAAAGGATATCAAGGGAAAGGTTTTTACTACAATATTTCCCCTAAAATAAACTTAACACACCTCAGTGTAATGTGCATGCCAACACTTAACAGGAATGCAAGATTTATAACGATGGGGCTTTTTAGATTTGCACTCTGGGGTCCATTGAATCCATAGGCACATCCAGAGTTCCCTCTCCTAAATGTGAGGATTGTATTTTCTATTTGACATTGATAGAAAAGCTGGGGATATATAACACTGAAATTAATGATCTTGTGCTTCATCAGATATGTGTAGTAAGTTTCCATTAATGGTAAAGCTAAATCATGGGAAATATGCACTTTATGGAACAACAAAAAGATACCCTGGAAAGACTTGCTCTGCTGTATCAAGGTGCTTTGAAATTTTACAATGATCAAATATACATGATCAAGCTGTGCTTGTTAGGGTACGAGGGGCTCAAAACGGTCAATGATTATTGATCAGACTGTTAAGTATTTGTTCACGATTCTTTCTATCCCAAAAGATTCAGGGGAATGAACAGTGAAAAATTGCATCAGAGTCCACCTTTGTTTGAGATTGATGTATCAAAACAGAGTATTCATTTGCCAAATCTATTGGAAAAAATGTGTGGTAAATGATGACATAAGGACTCCGAGTGCAGAGATTAGTATTTCCCTTTTTTAATTACCTTTGTTAAAATTTAAATGCTAATTCAGAAATGTAAACACGTAGTCTTTGTAGAACATGAATAGTGAATTATTGATAAGAGCAGATTTATACAGCAAAAGCAGAGAGACAATCATAGCTTATCCATTGACCTTTGCATTTTACCTAACGTTTTGAGCATGCCAGAATTTTTTTAATTGAAGTTGCAGTAACAGTGATTTAAGAGAATCCATGAGGTAAAAATGGAAATTTCTGCTACTCTTACAAAACAGCAAATCCTATGGGGGTGCAGCTACTGTCTTTTGGTAGTGGAATAAATATTACTTCTCATGAGTACTTCCAATTAAGTGTTTTCTTATTATATTCTCATTTGGCAAAAATCCCAACTTATCTGAATAATTACTCCTTTTTTTCACTTGATATTTCCATAGTCTCTATTTCTTCAAGTCCACGATATATAAATACATATTTTTAAATTAACTATCAAGTTTGTTCCCTAATTCAAAAATTACATGCATTGAAAGAAAATGCTGATGTGTAATTCTTGCAAAATCATAAGGCATACTTTATTTGATTTCATTATGCTGTACATTGCATAAATTCACAAGATCTTCCCCGAACACAGAGATCGGTTAAGATAAACTTACTACACATTAAAGAAAACTACTGAACACAAAGAATTATTTCTGCAGATATTTGCCTCTAAGAAATGATAACATATGTCTGTGTCTGAAGCTACAAATAGAGAGATGGATATACACACATATGTTCATTCACACACACACACATAGCCTCATAGTCATGTATCTTATACATATTTATATAAACAAATTTACATACCGCATCTTTTGTAAATTGTAAAACCAGCAATACCTTGTATCTCATTTTCGGATGTTAATTCCCTTAAAGCCACTTAGGATTTCTCCAGAGGAGAACTGCATTGAAAACAACCAGCTACATCTATACTTACATAAAAAGTTTGCAAAGTATAAAATTGGTGAAATGTCAGCGATTGGTTGGAAATGCCCTTTCACCTTCTTGTGTCTGACCTGCCACTTAATTAATCTGTTCTTGTCTGAGAGCAGACAGTGTTAAAGATAAGCAGCACAGTGAGCAGAGCCCACAGCCCTTTGAATATACATTCAGCTTTTTTGTAAAATAATTTTACTTAACTATATTCATAAGAATTCATCATTTCTATTTCACTTTGTGTCTTATCTGATTTCTTCTGAGTGCGAGCATTTACACGTGAGGTACTCTGCATTTAGCTCCCCTCTTTCAGCTGTATCTGTTCTAATTGCCTAGGCTAGTCCTGTAAAGTTTGCATCTGCTTTCCATACCTGCTTGCTGTGTTTTCAGATCATTTTTGCAGAGACATGCGGTGGGCATTCGGGTAGTCCAGATAAGGATTTATAGTGACAAAATATTGACTGGATTTGGTATTCACTTATGAAGGATGACGTTAGTGCCACAAAAATCCCTGTGATGTACAGGGAATAGTTAATTAATTAAAGGACCTGCTAATTGCTACTTGAGGTACTGTGCAGAGATGATGAAGAGTGCTTGGTACAAGGTTAGGTTCTCAGTTTTGAGTGAACATTTTCATTTAAAAGATTTCTTTAAAGTACATCCTAATTTTTTAACGTTTTTTTTTTTTTTTTTTCAGGTTACTGTATCTAGTTCAGACTCAAGTGTTCAATTGAGCTTCAATTAATTATAATATATAGTCAGGGTGCTTTAGCTGGGATAGATTGATGGAGAAGCTTTGTTTCATTTGGTGCAGGTGGCACTGTTTAATAAGCACAGGAGAGAGTGAATAATGTAGTGTTTGCAAAGAGAAATAAATGCAAAATAGAGAGGTGCAATTAGATCAGCTCAGAGAAATAAAGGACAAATATTAAATGGTCAGGTATCTTGCAAATAACAAGTAAAATAGTAATAAGTATCTCATTGAAAACTGCCATTTTAATTTATGAATATGTAAGAGTACTGCTTTTAAATAAATCCAGTGAGCAAGTCTTCTGCTCTCATTAGGCAGGCACATTTCAATATCTGAAAAATGCCAGAGTTCTGATTTTCAAGCACTCCATGTTATTTTTCTTATACTGAAATATAAATAGGATTCTAAATCTAAAATATAAAAACAAGGACTTCAAAAATGGACTTCTAAATTGTACTATAAAATACTTAAACCTTTGGCATTCTTTAATTATGGCTATTTTATAGTCCAGAAAAATTACCCCATGGAAAATTAATCTGTGAAAACTTGTAAATCATATCAATAATTTACTAGGAAATGAGTAGCTTTATGCTTCTCATGCATGCACTGAAGATAAATAAAGTTGCAGAAGATTATACAAAAGAAAATAAGATTGTAGATAAACAGTAAAGCCCTTGAGAATGCAAATCTTCTAATTGCACACAGAAGAATGAAAACAAGTATATCCTACTGAAAATAACACTATTCAGCTTAAAAAAATAATAAAAAAGTATCTGGTATCTGACAGGGTACTCTTGTGAGCTACTTAATAAAAGAATGTGAATGTATTTAGGCATTTCAGCAACACTTCTGCATCTAAAAATTTCAGCTGTAGACAGATTTTCCACAGACGATTCCCCCCTACTGCTAACCTCTTAAATATACCTATAAAATACAAAATGTTCCCAATCACCTCCAATAAAGGAAGCTTCCTTACATTAAATGCATCTAATATTTGTGTTAGAAATCCGAAGTGCTTTCTGATGTGGTTAAATTCACAAAGAAATGTGGTTGTAGAACAGAAAGGAATGTATCGAGCACATCACTCTGAATATTTGCAGATGGACACAGAGCTGTGGAAGTTTACTTATAAAATATGGAATTAATCATATTCTTCGTCTCTGATTATTCCGCAGAGGCAATACAGTTGGACTCTTTCTCTGCAAACCTTATTTTTGTTATGTAGCCGTGTTTACCAAATCCATGCTATACCCAATCAGGGCAGCCTCCCAAACCGCCAGGATTGGTTGGTATTGAACTTGTAAAATGTTTATGAGTGAGTGTTTGCCTGGTAATGTAGCCCTGGGTGCCCTGCTGTCAGCATGGAATTACTGATTCTGTTACACGCAGAAGGGCTTTGCAGGGAAGAGAAGGGGAGCTGGGTAGTCATAGGAACTTTCTCCTCTAAAGTCTTAACGTGCATTTAGACAAAATAGTTTTCACCAACAGAGCTACCTTCACCACTTTGTTTAAAAAAAAATAAAAATCCATTCATTTACTCTAACAACTGTTCTGCGACAAAGAGCCTTATTGCAGTTATTTCAGCTCTTAACTGTACAGCAACCAGGTTAGTCAGTATAAATTAGATTAAAAATAAACCATTAAGGAGTAGCTACACTACCAGATTCAAAGAGACACTTTTGCCATCTTTACCATATTCTGTACATGAATTTTATTGGATTAGCAGTAATCAAAAAATCATATTTTGTAAAAAAATATGCTATTTAAATTATTATTTACTATGGGAAAAGCTCGAGTCAGGCAATTAAATCTAAACACACCACCAAAAATCCGTATTCCCCAAAATAACTCTCCACAGCTATCTTGAATACACAGCCACTGACCTTCAGAATCATATTTTCTTTACCAATTCACAGTAATAAAAATGAACATTTTGTCATCACTTTGGGAAACTGTGCCAAACACCTTAAAACACATGTCACATGCCAACTTTACTTCATTTTTCTCCTCAGGGAATAGATACATCTGGAATCATAATCACAGATAAAAACCTTGACAAAATTGCACATGAGCCCAGCCCTTCTCTCCAACACCTACCTTTTCATAACATTTAATACAATATTAATATCAGTTACTAAAAAGGCTTCCAACCTTTACATTTCTGACATAACATGTTCAAACCCATATTTCACACTTCTTGTTCTGTTTTAAGTTCAGTGGATTTAACAGGACTCTGGAGAGAAGATCATGTGGCTGAAGATTTCCCTCCCTCTCTAACACCCGTAGAGGCAGTTTTGGAATTGTTTAAATAGCTGTGGCTATATAAACTGAAATATGTAAGATTATGGGTATCTTATTTCTCTCTCACACGTATAGATACATGCTTGCATATTTTTCTGAAATCTACTGCTTGTACCAGCGACAAACAATCTCTACACAACATCTGGGCAAAACATTCTGAATATTTTCATTTTACATTTTATTATTTATTTTTCCTGCATATTCTTGGTTTATCAGACAAATACAATTAGCTCGTATTGTATAAAAGCATTATTTGCTCTTTTTTAGCTATGATTGACAGTTTTTCAAATCAAAATAAAGCACATTCTTAGCCGATCATCTTCTTGAAAGTGTGTTACTGTTTTAAGCTCGGTTTGCTTCTGAGACAGCTAGAGATCTTACTCGCCAGGGCTAACTGGTGAAATTACAGATCCAACAGATTCCCTGCTCTCCCCCAAGTGCTTGGCTTAGGTAATAATTAACGGCTAATTCCTGGACTGAGATTTTTACTGTATGTTTTTATAAAACATTCATCAGCTGATACTGCAAAGAAACGGAATTTGAGAACTTTGCGAATTTTCTTTTTTTATTGCGTTTGTAATTAATACCATGCTGGAGGTACCTCGGGCAGCTCACTGTATGGCTTTGTTCATGTCAGAATGGTGATAGCAACCCCTTTTTGTTACATATTTAACAGCTTTGAAAGACATTTTTTAAACAGCAAATGTACTCGACAGCTTTAAAGCAAAGGACATTAAATAGGTTGCCAATTATTCATTCAACAGCTCTATGTGCGTCAAAAAAATGCATACCACCAAATTTTCCCAAGACAAACCACTTAAATTTCCTGTGACTCACGCACCATTTTTGCACTTACTGGGTAAGGATAGCAATTATTTAGAAAAAGAAACAGATATTAAACATTTCTTACCCTGGAATACTAAAAACATATTTATAAATACGCTCATTTCCAGTTTGGGGACAGCATCTGTGACAAGAAATGTCCTATTTTTAAACTGAATGGTGTTTCTTAATAAGCTTATTTTATTATTTTCTTTCACTTTAAAATCACCCAAAGTGTCTCACTTGGTATATAAGAAGCGCAAAAAGTGATATATGAATGGAGCAATCATTTCCCAGAATCATTTCGAGTCAGTCTATCGAGCGAGTAAATCTGAAGCATGCTAGTCTGTCTCCAGCAGCTCAGGGAGATGAAGAGCTGAGCTGAGCTCCACTTGCTGACAAGAAGCAAACTGTCTCACATTTTAGGAGAACAACATCATTGCCTATAAAAATGAAGAAGAGACAAAATAAATAAAACCAGTTAATGTTGTAGTTAACTTGCAAATCAAGTAAATCTGTTGGTACAGTATTTTAGAAATAAATGATAACAGCATCACACCAAACACACATTTCTGAACATATAAGCGTTCTGATTTTGATTTAATGGTATATCAGCGTCAACTATTGCTTCCTTTGCTGGTACACACTTCCTGATGCCTACTGTGAAGGGTGCCCATATTTACAACTGAGTAAGATGATTAATTACACCTTGTCAATCACGGTGCATGAAGACATAACACCACAGCAGACAATGAAGAAGATGCCTGAAGCTACAATTACATTTTAATTCATAGTTTATTGTATGTTCCCATATATTGCAGTCTAATAACCGTAGGGGCATCAAAAACATATGAGATATCAATCACTCTGCCCCCTGGTCTTTCATGTTTATATTATTCCACAGCCTTTAAATTACCATAAGTAGTTACTTATTTTCTAAGCTTTCTTCTCTTCTCTCTTACCTTTTGCTTCCATTTATCTTTTATTCTTAGTACCTTTATCCAACAGCTCTAAGTATCTGATGGAAGTTTGTAGCTCACTTAAAATCTGTAACAGACAACCTGAAACCCAGCAATTAGCAAAGACAGCTTAGACTTGTGTTCCTTTGTTGAAGGAGGCGTTGAAGCTTTTGTTCTGATTTAGTCACGGTAGCTGGGTGGAAGCTGGTACCTCATTATGTGGTTGGTCTGTTTGTCTGGTAGGTAGCAGATGGTACTGGAGATGACGTTACCAAGAGAGGCAGGGTAGAGAAACTCAAGACCTGTGATTTGTTCACCTGTCACCTATAACAAAATACAGGTTAAAAGACTTTATTATTAGCTGCACCATTTTTTTTTAATGAAAAAACTCGTTTCAAATGAGTCCGCCGTTGATTGTGAAGATTACTTTGCTGTAGCATTTTTTCTGTTGCTCATTATTCAAGGATACCCTGGATTTTATTCTGAACAATGTAAATGTCATTCATGTGTCAGTGTGTACATTAGCAGCTTTGTGTTTACATTCTGTTACTCTCCTTGTGTTTTGGTAGCCAGGGTTGGATGTCTTCTCGTGTTTGTATATCCATTAAGTAGATAATCAGAGATAGCCTGTGAACCAGAGGTCGTGCCATGCCTTTTTAGCAGGCTATTGGTATTATTGGTTCCGGCCACTTGGGCAATACAGCCCTATTAAATATCGCTTTTTAATTCCATAAAACACCACGGCATCTTTTAGATAGTCCGCGATGTCAGACGGAGCGTAAGAACCCGCGACCTTTCTCCCTTCCAAAGCGCCTGTAACCAACTGCGTGACCCAGCACGGGCCTGGCACCAACAGCTCCGGGGCCAGCAGCCCCAGAGGAGGCTTTGCAGCAAAGTTCCCGAGCGGGGGCCACGCGGTGCTGCTCCACAGCCAGCCTTGGCGGAGCCCAGGGTGCGAAGCCAGCAGCGCTCCGCCTCCGCCTTCCCGCGGGCGGGTCTCAAAGCGTGCTGAGATTTGGGGAAGGCTGCACCTCGGGGGGTCGGTACCGCACAGCTCCAGCAACACGCGGCTCAAGTTCGCTGACCCGGAGCGGGAGGGTCCAGGCGTGACTCCTGGGTCCCGGTGCCGGGCCCGGTGGCTCGGGGCCGTGCTTCACGGGGCTCCTCGTCCTGCGGGGCCCCGCAGCGCCGGCAGGCAGGGGACACCCCGCGGGGCTCCGAGCGGCCCCCGGCGGGCTGGGGCTCAGGGGCCGAGCCCCGCGCTGCTGGGCGGGCGGCTCGGCCCGGGGCCGTCCCCGCGTGCCGGGGCCGTGCGGGGCCGGGGGGCGGCGGCGGTGGCGGGGCCGCGGCCGAGCACATGCCGGCGGGCGCGGGGCGCGGCGGCAGCCAATGGCGGCGGGGCAGGACGTGATGTCAGCGCGCCTCTAGAAAAGGCGCGGAGCCTCGCGCGGCGCCCGGGCTGCAGACGCGGGCTCGCCGCCACCGCGCAGCCCCGCACCGCCCCGCGCCGTCCCGCACCGCTCCGCGCCCGGCTCCCACCCCCGCTCCACCCCTCCCCTACCCCACTGCAACCCCCCCCCCCCCCCCCCCATCCACCACCACCCGCCGGCAGCCGCCCCGGGCCGCGCCGCCTTAAGGAGCGAGGGGGGCCGCCGAGTGCCCGTCCCACCTGGTGCCCGTCCAAGTCTCTCCCTCCTTCCCCCCGGCTTTCTCCTTTCCCAATGAGCTCCGGCGGGCTGGGGGAGGAGCGGGGGACGGAGCAAACTTTGCCCCTCAGCCGCCGCCGCTGCCAGCCCTCCGGACCGTGAGTGCGTGCGGGGGGCACCCGGCCCGGCCCCGCAGCGCCAGCCTGCCCTCCGCCCGCTGCAGCCTCCCCTCCCCGCCCGCCTCCTGCACACCCCGCACACTGCGATGTAGGGGCTCGTCCTTCTTATTTTTTTATCGTTTCTCGCCGAAGATGGTTTAATTTTATTTTTTTTTTAAATGCATTCCTATTATTTATTAATCCCTCCCCACCGTAAGCCTGCCCAGCCTTCCGCCGGCTGGGCCGGAGCGTAAAGCCTGGGACCGCACCTGGGGCGATGAGCCCCGCACTGAAGAAGCCTCCCAGAGGGATGCGCCGGGGCCGCGCAGCAGCCTAGAGCCGAGCCCGGAGCTCCCAGCGCCGCCGGTCCCCGCTCCCTCGTCCCCTCCGCCCGCCTCTGCTGCTCCCCGACCCCGCGGGACCCCGGACCCGAGCCTGCGCCGCGCTCCGGAGAGCTCCGCCGGGGGCAGAGCCCCGAGCCCGAGGAGAGACGGGGCGGCCGTGCTAGATGCATGGGGGAGGGCTCCGCTTAATGCAAGTTCTGGGCTCCTGCAGGGACCCCGACAACTGTCAGCAGCAGCAGCAACTCGGGGCCTCCTCCTCCGCTTCCTCAGCGATGCTTTTCCACAGCCTGTCCGGCTCGGAGATGCACGGGGTCATCGACGAGATGGATCGCAGAACCAAAAGCGAAGCACCGGCCATCAGCTCGGCTATAGACAGGGGAGAGACCGAAACGGTAGGAGGCGAAGGAGTGGGAGTCATTCAACCCCCTAAACGTAACGAACCCCTCAAAAACACAGCTTTTCCTTTAAAATAGCAGGTCGGGGGGAAACGTATGCAAAATACTAAATCGGAAGAAAATTAAGCATAAAGACACCCGCAAAAGGTCGAGTAAAACCACGGGGAAAGGCATGAAACTGTTAATTATTAATAATATGCATAGTAATAGTAACGCTTGGGTGGAAGGAGCGGTGCTGCTCTTGCGAGAAAACAGAAAGCTAGACCAGCCTTTTGGTAGCGTCCAAGAACGCCTTCCCTTCCCCCAGCCCGGCCGGCCTTCTAAAGTTTTTAGGGAGAGGCAAAGTATGCTTTTATACAGATAACGCTCTGGCACAGCGAGATTTTTCTCTGCGGAATGGAAACACAAACAACAAAGAATCCGATTCGGTGTTGTTTTTCAGGTGGGATGTCCACGCTGAGGTAGTTGTTATAGCACTAAGTAAAAAAAAAATAAAATAAAATAAAAGGAAAACTAAAACTCGAGCATCTTTAAATTATGATTTTTTTCGTAATAGAAAGATACGTGAACACTGGATTTGCAAACACGGCAAACGGATTTAGAGGATGTGTTTCAGGGAGACAGACGGATGCAAATTTTTATAACTTTACTGCTTTTATCTTATGTCTGCTAACGCGCAGTACTTGTATTTTAATACATTTAGATAATAAAAAGATGAATCTTTCAAAGCAGAGTTAAGCCAGCGAAGTGGAAGAGATTTCTGAAGTGTATTAACTGAATCAACATTTTCTGTGTACTGCTTTTGTTTTGGTTTGGTTTGTTTTTTTTTGGTTAAGAAACGATAATTCTGGGGAGAAATGATCCCATATTTTGGTAATGCTGTCTTTTAAGCTGATATGGGCATGTGCAAGAAAGATATCTGTGCTTGGTTTTTAAAACTTCAACAATAGGTGTTACTTCTCTAAATGCTATGGAGAAATTTACTTAAAAGTGACAGTGAGATTATTTAATCCTGAAATACTGGCTGAAAATAAACCTTTCAGCTAGAAGGGCTGAATGTGATTTCTAATCAAAGCAGTTTGGGTTTTCTTTGGAAAAGTTAATATTTCTGTGTAAAATTAAACAACATCAAGTTATCTTTCCTGGAGTAATTCTGTGTCATGATACCTTTATATATCTACATAGAAATTATTTGCATGCACACGTGTATAGAATGAGCAGTGAGATAGGATACTAGATCCTTAAATGCCATTTCTGGATATCAGAATATTTTTGTTACTGGTAAAGCAGAAAAAAATCGTGTTTTGTTTAAAGTGGATTTATAAAGAACTACTTTGGTTATAAAACGATCCCTAATCAGAGTTCAGTTAATGCCTTAAAGACCTAAGCTACCAGTGGACTTGTGTGGCTCCCATACCGCTCTAGTGCCATAATTTTATTTGTACGTACTGCTGGTAGTGGAAATGCTGTCGTGCAAACAGTAGTGCTCGTAGTGCTGGGGGTTGGTGATCTCTGCAAGTGCTGGATGAAAGTAATCCGTCAGCATGTGCTGGAAACACAGCTTCATTTTCTTTCAGTTCTTCCCGTTAGCTGTCTTCCCTCTCCTTGCTTTGCGCAAGGACTTAAGGCTCTAGAGGAGGTAAAAGTAAACACGCGGCTTCCCCCCGCCCCGAGTGGGAGCTCTGCGGCTCCGGCACGTCTGCAGGACGGCAGCTCCGGCCCCAGCACCAACGTGCGGGCTGGCTTCGAGCAGTGCCATGCTGACAAGTTTGGGACGAAGTGGACAGCAGCGCAGTGCCAGGTCTGCCACAAACACTGCTCCACTCCGAACCTCTTGTCCTGACTTTGGGCTTGGGTTTAGGTTGAGGGTGTTGAGTAAAATACACGAGCGCGCTTAAACGGTTTCCGATAGTCTTTTTCTCTTTATTTTCTTTTTATTTTCTTTATTATTTTTTTTTGGTAGGAGTTGACAGAAAATGTATGTATTTGTTTTTTTGCAGGGGGTTTCGATTGGATTGTGATTTGACACTAAACTATTAAATTATATAGGGGTTACATTTAGTTTTATTGCTTCCAAGTTTATCCCAGCATAATCTAAAGCACTCTGTTGTTTTTCCTCTCTTTTTTTTCCCCACTATTTCGTTTTTCTGACAAAGCGTTCTGCGCCTCAGACCCAGTGGTGCTCGTCTCCTCGGCAGTTGTTTCCCGATCCCTGCGGTGCTCTGGGTCGGGGCAGGCTGGGACGCGGTTTGTTGGGGAGCGGCTCGCAGAGAGCTGCGCCTGTGCGGCTGCTGGGGGGTTTGATCGTAATTCACTCGGAATTTTATAGCTAGGAAAATACACACCCAGACCCGCACTCACGGGGCATTAACTATGCAGGCACTCTCCGTGTATCCGTAACGGGAAATTTTAGAATTAACTGTCTGCGATTTTCCCCGCTCTGACGATTGCGCCTGTTTAGCGAGGAGCATCTTTTCTTGATCTGGGACTGGCAAATTCACAAAAGGAAAAAAAACGGAGCGAGAAAGCCTGGCTCTCAGCCGGCCCCCCAACCCCCAGCCCCGGCCGCTTTCGGCCCGTCCCCCCCTCGTCCCCCACCCTCCCCGGGGCCGGCCGCCTCGGAGCCCCCCGGCCGCGGAGCGGGGCCGGGCAGGGCAGGAGCCGGCCAGGAGCCGGGCTGGCCGGGGGGGCTGAGCCGTGCAGCAGCCGCTGGCTCTCGCTAACGGCCCGCGGTTGTTCTCCCAGCAGAGCATGCCGTCCATCAGCAGTGACCGCGCTGCCCTGTGCGCCGGCTGCGGGGGGAAGATCTCGGACCGCTACTACCTGCTGGCCGTGGACAAGCAGTGGCACATGCGCTGCCTCAAGTGCTGCGAGTGCAAGCTCAACCTGGAGTCCGAGCTCACCTGCTTCAGCAAGGACGGCAGCATTTACTGCAAGGAGGATTACTACAGGTACAGCCCAAAGCCGCCCGGAGAGCCGGGAGGGGATGAGGGGGGGACCGCGGGCTCCCGGAGCCTCCCGGCCGGGGCCGGGCGCATCCCCCGGGCTGCTGTGGGAGCCCGAGGCCCCTCGGCGGGCGGCGGAGCGGAGCAGCCCGGCCCCGGGAGCGGCCGCCCGGCCCCACGCGGGTCCCGCCGGGGGGCTGCGGATGGGGCGGGGGTCGGGGGTCGGCGCGGCTCCCTGGGGCTCCCTGCGGCTCCCTGCCGCAGCCCGGGGTCCGGGGGGAGCGGGGCCGAGACCCCAGGTCCTGCCGCCCTCCCTGGCAGCGGCCCGGCGTCGTGTCCCGGCCCGCAGCCCCCCTCCGCGGGCTGCCCAGCGCCCCTCACCGTCTCCTCGGGCCCTTGTGTTTTGCAGGAGGTTTTCGGTGCAGAGATGCGCGAGGTGTCACCTGGGGATTTCTGCCTCCGAAATGGTCATGAGGGCCAGGGATTTGGTATATCACTTAAACTGCTTCACTTGCACCACCTGCAACAAGATGCTGACCACCGGCGACCACTTTGGCATGAAGGACAATCTGGTGTACTGCCGCCTCCATTTCGAGACTCTCATCCAGGGGGAGTACCAGGTGCATTTCAATCACTCGGATGTAGCCGCTGGGAAGGGCCCAGCACTGGGAGCGGGCTCTGCCAGTACTTTGGGACTGCCTTATTACAACGGCGTGGGGACTGTCCAGAAGGGGAGACCCAGGAAAAGGAAGAGCCCGGGGCCTGGGGCAGACCTGGCAGCGTACAACGCAGGTAAGAGACCCCATCTTCCCCCAGGAACAATTCCGACGGTTTGTTTTTGTTCACTTCCAAAGGGGGATTTCCGTTTATTTTAGCTTAAACCGTTAATAATAGTTTAGCTGCAGCATAATTATTGAGATCAAGTGCTGTCAAACTGCAATTACAGAAGCTAATATGTTAGCATTTTTCACTTCAGCTGGAAATAAAATGTTTTGAAGCGAGGTCATCTGGTTAAGGAGGGGGAGAGGGGGGAGTGGAGCCTGAAATAAAATCTGGAAACCAGAGATTGGAAGTTAGCACTTCAGAGAGCTGTGAATTTTCTTTAGTAGCTACACCCTCCGAGGCTGCTGATGGGCGAAGCGTTCTGCCCTTCTCTCCAGCTCCCGCACCTCCGGCTCGGGGGGCAGGGGGCCGAAAAGCGGCCGTCCCCGGGGGGCAGCGGGGGGCAGCGGGGGCAGGTGGCTGCGGCTGGGGCTGGGGCTGCGCTGCTGGGACGGGGCCGGCTGGGCTGAGCGCCGCCGCTCGCTGCCCCTCGCTGGCACCGGCCCTGCCGGGGGGAGCCGTGCCCCGGGCTCTGCCCTCAGCTGCCCGCTCCCCGAGGAGTTTCCTCGTCCGGCCTCCCCACGGCGGCTCCGGAACTTTGCAGGGAAAGGAACCGGGGCGGTCTCCTGCCTTCCCGTGCCCCCGCTGTCGGGCTGCCCCCTCGGGCTGCCCGGGGCCGGCCGCGACGCTGTCGGGGTGGGAGCCGGGGCCGCTCCCCGCCCGGGCCGGGGGGCTCCAGGGGGCTCCGGGGGCGCGGGGAGGCCGCAGGGCGAGGCTGCTGCCGCCGCCTGGGGCAGGGACGGCGGCGCCCGAAGCGAGCGGGTGGCGCTGAAAACAGCGAGGAGAAGGCAAGCGCACCTCGGGACGGGGCTGCCACCCACCGCTGCCTTCAGCAGCGATTTGGGAACGGCGCAAAAACCCGGGGCCGTCCCAGGGGTGAAGGCTGCTGAAAGGTGCGCCTAGCGTTGTCCCTGCGAGCTCCCGCACACGCAGGCGACAGCGGCTCCCCCGCTTAAAAACGCTTCCTCCCCGGGGGGCTGCGATCCAGGCGGCCTTCCGCCGCCTCCCCGTGCGGGGCAGATGTTCCCATTCAAAGGACCTGTAAAGCGAGGCAGCGGCATCTGTCCCGGGTGGGAGCACAGCCCCAGAAAGTCTTGGTGCTCCCCGACTTCCTAACCACGCCGTCCTTAGCCGCTTTTTGAAGAATTCGTTTCCAAAATAATTGCCCTCCGAGTTTGCTCTTGGAATTTGGGGCTAGACCCTGTAAATGATGCTGCAGAGATCTTCCGCGAGGAGCTTTTGGCTTCTTCGCTTAAACTATTTGTCTGCTTAATATTTGCTAAACCGATAATCGATTAATTTATATGGTAATAAGTGTAATTGATCCTGGAAATCAGACCGGGTTGTCTGTTGATTTTAAATCTCCCAAACCAGCAAATTCTTGCAAAGCTTTCTAATTTCTGTCTTCTAAAAGGAAGCCGTTTAGAAGTGTGATAGTTTCTCTCTAGTTTTTAATGGAACTTTTCGTTTCCTCCCGAGAAATGCACGATGTTGTCCTCTGAGGGTACTCGGGGCTGGCACTTTGTGTAGCAAGCTTCGTGTAAATAAATCTTCACCAGAGGTGGTGGGAAAAGGGGGACCCGGAGATGCGGCCAGAGCAGGGACAGGAATTATTTTGTAAATAGCAGCAAACACTCATCTGCGACATGAATTGGACTGGCTCTTTTTTTCTGCCTAAACGAGACTCCGTTTGCACAGGGATGATGGGTTTTGGATGTGGATAGAGCCTGACAAGTGGAAAATAGCTTAGAAGGATGCCGAAACTTCAAAAAGATTTTTTTCCCTCTCTCTCTTTGTTTTTTCTTAAAGTGTGTTCCTGTGATCGTAATTTCTTCTTTCACTTGTTGGACTGGATTTTGATGTTGTTTTTTTTTTAGGTCAGTAAATCAATGGCTGAAAGCTTGCTGAACACAGAAGCACCTGTAAAGAATTCTGAATACTCCCTTTGTGGATTAGACCCCAAACCTCCCACAGCCCGCTGTACTTTATTCCTATCTATCCAGTCTGCCTTTGATAAGAAGACAGGAAAATCTCCTTGCAAGCGCCAGAAGTGCTGAGCAGGCTCGGGGCAGCGGGAGCTCCCCACGCCCGGGGCCGGGCAGGCGGCGGAGGCGTTATAGGGGCGCTATAGGGGCGTTATAGGGCGCTCTCCTCCCGCACGGGCGGCGGGGCCCGGCCGGGCTGCGGCTCTGTGGGGCCGGGCCGCTGCGGGGCGCTGCTCCCGGTCCCGCTCCTGCTCCCGGTCCCGGCCCCGCCGCCCCGCGTCCGGCAGCGGGGCCGGGTGGGGGCTGGCCCCACGAGCAGCTTTGCCAGGAGTTTTCTCCTGAGAAACCCGGGGAAGCTCCGGCGAGCTCCCTTCTCCCTCTCCCCCCGGGACGGGAAGCTCCCGGGGGGGGCCCCACTCCCGGCACCGCTCCGAGCCGCAGCCCCCAGCTCCCGGCCGGGGCAGGGCTGCGCCGGCTCCGAGGAGGGGACCCCGCCGAGCCCCGCTGCGGCCCCTTTGTGCGGACAGACGGATGGATGGATGGATGGATGGATGGATGGATGGATGGACGGACGGACGGGCTGCCCCCGTCCCCAGCAGCGCCCCGGGAGCAGTGGGGGTGGCGGGCCGTGAGGTCCCCCCCCAATCCCGGTTGGGAGCGGGGTCCGGGTGTCCGCCGCGCCCCCTCCTGCCCCCGGCCGCAGCTCGGTCCCGGTGCCGAGCCCCCCCCTGAGGCTCCGGGCTCCGCTCTGCGCTCCCGGCCGGGCCCCCCCGGCCCCCTGCAGGCGGCCGCGGGTGGGAGCGGGGCCGGCCCCGCACCCAGGGGCGCTGCGGGCGGAGGGCGCCGAACGCGCCTCGTGTCTCAGCGTGCTACCCGGGCCGGGATTAGTTTGCTTTCTTTTGGGGTAATGTAACGTGGCAAACGCGAGCCGCTAAGAACAAAAGTTTCTCCCCCCCGAGGAAACTCCTCGCCCCCAGCCCCTCCGGTGCCGCGGCCCCGACGTGGGGGATCCGCGGGCTGGGCGCGGGGCAGTGCCCCCGGCTCCCTCCTGCCTGCAGGCTTTGCACAAGGATAACGGCGCATCCCGCTTCGTGCTCGCGGTGCTGTTTTTAGAGACGGTTTTACACGTTATTCTGCAGAGGATATTTTGGTCACCGGCACCGAAGCACAGTGTTTAAATGTGAGGGAGGGAGAGGCAGCTCCTGGCGATGCTCTCTGTGGGCTTCCTCTCGAGGCCGAAGGGACGCTTGTGTCGTGGTGCCGGGGGGGCTGCCAGGGGTCACCTCTGGGGAGAGCAGCGGATGGACGGCAGGGCGATGGCCTGGGTGTGGGGACCGGGGGAAAGGCAGCAGGGCCTCAGAGATGGCCTAGGGTCAGGAAAGATACTTGGCACCACTTCAGAATTTGCTTTATCACAACATAGGAATGAAGCGTTAGTTAATTTAAGGCTCCTCTGACTGGAATGTTACCAGTTGTATTTCTGAACTCCCAGCAGGAGTCCTAGATGCTGCAACTGCATGGAAATCCTAAGTCTGGGTGGTTGAGCAATTCCTCTAGGAGATGTGCAGGGACACCACGAAGGACCAGGGGGAAGTGCCTGGAAACCAGAGCACCGAGCGAGGGGCACGTACGGTGCCAGTCTTACACCAGGGTGGCCCTTGCAGAAACTCCTTCACTCCGAAGGTCTCCACGCTTCTGTCTCTGTGCCTGCAGTGCCCATGGACACCTCAGGCTGGGCAGGAGATGCACGTAATACCAGATTGGTACAACCAAATTCTGGAGATGGTGCCAAGTACCAGAAACAAACAGGAGAGGGGAAGCGGTGCTAACGAGGAGGGTTAGGTCAGGCTGGGGGATGCTGTGGGTGCTCAAAGCACTTGGGCAAGACAAGGAAGAGCAAACACCCTTATGCACTTTCAAAGTCTGTTTTGTAACTTTCTTCCTAGAAAAGGACAACGGTTTGCTGGTCTCGAATAGTACATACTCACTGTCATCTCAATATTATTTTTATTTAGAAGATTGGGGGTAAAATTATAAGAAACTGAAAGAGCAAATTGTTCATTGTCTAGTTGATGAAAAGCAGATCCCCTCCTTCCCTTCTGGGAGGATTTAGAATCAGTTTTATTTCCTTGGATCCTGATTGTATCTCATTCTCTGTAGAACAGGTTAAAATCCAGCTACTTGCGGCCCTAGGGTTTGTTTTGCTGCATGTTAACACGAACAGGTCTCAGCCCTTCTGACGGCTATTTTGATGCACTTCCTCCTAACTCTTTGCCCTGTTATTTCTGGGAGGGTTTGAGAGCATTTAAGACAACACACAGAGGTCTTTTCCATTTCTAATGTCTACAATTCTGTATGTTTTAAGACCAAGTACTGTGTTGTTTTACATTTCCATAATACCTTTTGCTGTAAGAAATACAGTTTCAGTTATTCTTCCCAGTATTATTTAGAGGGAGAACTGTAGCTCTGGAGGAGACTGGAGCTTGTGGGGTCACCCCAGTTTGGCAACTAGATCTCAGTTCTTAAACCAGAAAAAAGACTTTGTTACATTCTGTCCAGCTCCATTAATGCTGCATTTTTACTGTCTCCTTTTGTGTGTCTTACACCTTTTAAATTGAGGTGCTTCCAGTCTTTCCATACATCACGACAACAAGCAGAAATGCTTCTTATTACTGGAATTTGGCACAAGAAAGTTAGGTCTGCAAAGGATTTATAGAAATGTATACACATGCACATACATGCGCACACATTTATATGTCCAGCACATTTATACTGGCTGTTTTTTGAATTGTAGGGGTACAGAAACTCACCAAGATGTTTGAGGCTTCAGACACTTTTTACCGATCTATTAAACAAGCCTGCTTTTGGTCTCACAGCTGAAGTTTTGCAGGCCTTGCTCTATGTTGTGCCACATCTTTTAAAGTTTTTGAAAAGCTGAAATTTGCAAAGCAGCCACTGCACATGCTGCAAAACTGCTTTTTAGTGTATCTGTATGCATATTTCCACATGAGTACGTGCATTTTGTTTTATTTTATTTTTTAAATAGTGGTTTTAATGCATGCCTTTCAGAAATTGAATGTATTCAACAGGGCTGAAAAACTCTCCTAGACAGTATGAATTTAAAGTATGATTACAAAGAGATACATGTCCATGAGATGTACTCAGTTGAAATGAATCAGTGGTAATGGAAAACTGAAAACAAATCTGTTTATGTGCTTATGAAATTCACCAATAACTCACATTTTAAAATACATTTGTCTTTTATTTTGTTTTGTTTTGTTTTTGCATGCAATGTAGAACAGAGATAGCAGTGATTTTTCATTACTTTTAATCAACATCTTACAGGAAATTAAAAAGGAGTTTCAGATACTGGAGCAGAAAAAATAAATTAATGGCAGCTTATTAGAGCTAATTTTCAGTTATATCCATGATATTATTTTTAGTGAATTTAAGCTTGGTCCTTAATGTTATTTTAAGAGTTTTTCTATGGTTTACTTTGTGCACATGTAAATTAAAAACTACTTTTGGTCTATGAGACTATTTTGTTTGGCATTCAGCATTTAATATAATTTGATAATTATTACAATTTTCCTTGGTCACAGGCTTCCTTTGCAGGCTTTGCAGTTGATTTATGCAAATGTGTCAGTCAGTCTCATTCAGTAATTTCAAAAGAATATAACAGAATCAGTCATTCAAAGTAGTATTTTCAAATGCTTAAAAATGAAATGTAAATATAAATAATAAAAAATAAGTGTATTTTTTTTTCATTTGGTGTGCTGCTGATATATTGTATTAACAGCTTTATTTCTTGAGCTAGTCAAATTATAGTCATAATTTGCTGTCTGGTACCCACAAACTTTATTTCTTTTATAGTGTTTCATTTAATGGTCTCTCTTGTACTCTACAGGGTTTAGTTTGATGGAGGAAATAATTATAATTTTAACTGGTCTGTTCCATCGAGATTTAAGTGGGCTCTATTGTACAGCTTTCTTTGTACATTACAACACAATTTATAGTGATACAAAGTACGTTAAAACACTTTACAGAGTTGAGGACAGCTACTGTCCTACAAGCAGAAAGTGGAGGAAAGGCTGTGCGGAGATGGAGGAAAGAAAAAAGGAAACAGACCTGACATTTTAAAAGCCATAAAGAGGCAGGTGAGGGTCCTCGCAGACTGGTTATTGTAAGGGAAAAATAGAAGATGCAGAAATGGAGGGGAAGGCAAGTAGGATTTGTACCAGTACAATACGTGCCATGGTATGTTATTTTAATTGCTGCTCTCAGATGAACTGCAAACAATGTTGGTCACAGAGCAATAGGTTTACACGCCTTTTCCTCTTGTTGCCTTAAGCTTTAAGCTGCAATGAAAACGATGGTGACCACCTGGATAGAGACCAGCAATACCCCAGCAATCAGAAAACAAAGCGCATGAGGACATCATTCAAACACCACCAGTTGCGGACAATGAAGTCATACTTTGCTATTAACCACAATCCTGACGCCAAGGACTTGAAACAGCTAGCTCAGAAAACCGGCCTGACCAAAAGAGTTCTTCAGGTAAGAAGAACAGTCTTTTGTACCAAAACATCAAATTTGTATTTGAAATGCTGTGGATCTTACTAATCTTCAAGCTTTTCATAATCATTCATACCTTCTGTGAGACATCAGTTACATTCTAGAAAGTATGAGAAAAGTTATTTCATTTCAGCTTCCCAAAAGCAGATCACTTGGGTTTTAATTTTTAATGACAGTTGTGAAGGCATGGGGTGCTATTTGTTTTCCTGAAGTTAGTCAATTCTGGTGCATGTTTTAGCTTCTGATCTGCTGCAAGAAAAAAAAATTAGTTAATGTAAATAGAGAGTTCTTAATTTAGAAATTGCAAGGAATGGTTTTCTTCGTGAGTAATCAGCAGTAATTTATTATTTTATCAGGACAGGGAGGATGTCTTTTCTTTTGCAATGTAAGTGGACATAAATTTAATTTTTCAAAGATTATTTTTTTAGTCATAGTAAAGTAACTTAGAATGAAAGGCGACTGCATTTTGAAAGTACCTTTTCTCTGAAAGCTTGATTTTTCTTGCTTCAAGGATATACACTCCATTTGAATTATTATGGCAAGGAAAGGTAAGAATATTAGTCGGCTTAGCTCCATTCTAATTTATAGTTCGGATTCAGGAAGTGAATTTTAATGGGCACTTATTCAGTAACTATAACTAGAGATAAATGTGGGCATATAGGAGGCATGACATTCCAAAATCTATTACTGAAATCTTTAAATGGATCTTTAATAGTAGAAAAAACTGGTTTGTGGGCTTCGTCGAGAAAGCTAGGGCTCAGGCGCCTGGGAAAGCACTGTGGACAGCTCTCATAAATTCATAGGCAAGTGGAGGGCAGTAAACAAAAACATTGGAAAAAAATGAATTCACTGGAGAATTGTGGATCTTGTAGTGTTTACACATAACTGAAGAAGGAATAAAGGTTTGTAGGCTTCCTAGTAAAACTGCTAATGAAAAGCTGTATGTAATTCCTTCTCTTGGCCACGTCCATCATAGCTGGATTTTGTTTGTTTTTGTGAAGCTGATTTGCAGTGGCACAGATTCCTCCTCTATAACTGGTGCACATCCTAGCGCTTGACACAGTGCCTCTCATAGCAGCTTCCTTTTATCTATGAGTGTGGAAGAAAGGATTTTCTGCATTTAACTATCATTATTTCAGCACTTCCTCATTTTCTCATCAGAGTTTACACACTTTAGTGATATCTACTCTGTTACCAGTGCACTCACACCTGAATTATCTGAGAAATTTCACATAGTGCATGAAGAAATTAGATTGGTGCGTAGAAAACACCTCTCTCTTCATCTTCCTTCTGTTTTTTTTTTCCTCAGCCTGCACCAACTTTGACTTCCATATCTATTCTCTTTTCATCCAATGAGCTTGTCCTTCCAAATTTTTTCCAAGTCTTTTTCTCTGTTCCTTCCTTTTATAATGTATTTCTTCTCCCTAAAGCTGGATTCCATGTCTCTCTTCAGCCTCTCTTTCAGTTTCTTGATCACTTCTGTTTCCACGTTAAGTACACTGCATCCTCTAGTTTTAAGGTGCACAGTGCTTCCTCTTTTTTGTGGCAATCCTTTACAATTCTACAAAACTTTTTTCATGGTTTTGGTAATTGGTGTTTCACTTCTTTTACTTCCACAGTTAAAGTTTACTTCTTTATCTCTGGGCTCCTTTAGCTGAAGAGTGGCGCAAGGTAATAGTTGGTGTTGAGGATTGCACACAGAGGATGGTGCTGTTGGAGGCACTTCAAGAAAATGACTCGGAGTGATACTTTGCATAGTATTGCTTGAGTTTTTCTGTCTGTTAGGAGCATTCTCTACTCCACTGAAAATTAATTTGGGCTTTAAGAAACAAACTTGCTTTTTGGATTGTAGAACCTTTGTGCCCAGTTGGTTTATTTCTAACCTGTGAGAGAAAATAATGTGTGCTTCTGAAACTGCAGAGGGAATTTTTCGAACTCTGAAGTTCACCCATGCAAGTTTCAAGGTTGCTTCTTGCTGGGGAAAACTCTTCATGATGTTGGTTACTGAGATAGTGTCACTTGTTAATTCTTTTGCGCCAGAAAGGTTGGCATTCCATCTGTGTCATTTATTGAACATGAAGTAATTCACTGACACTATTGATCTAAACAAGCATCGTTAGTATTAGGCTGTCTCACATGCTGAAGGCGTATGGACTCCCAGATGTATATGCACACATTCCAGCAGTAAGAAATTTTCTGCTTTCCCTATCTTGTTACTAGGCATGTCTGTAAGCGCTTGTATTTTTGTGTGTTCAGGTCTCAGTTCAGCTGACGAAAGATAATGATTCTTTATCTATCATGAACAGAATATAGTGGAATAGAAAATATAAGGTAGCAGATGAGGAGAAAGACAAAATCCCTTATTCTGAAACCAGTGGGCTTTCTAAACATGCAGAGGAGTTCCTAGTGTTTTAGGAAACGGCTATAGTGCCACTGCTATAAAGGCAGTCCCATATAACATGTCATGAGAGTGGCTTGTAGATGAGCAGAGAGTTTGGCCATCATAATGATCTGTGATACTGGACTTGGAAGCCCTGACTTCTGTTTTGGCTGTATATACAACTAGTCATCAGCTACCCATGTCCAGAAGTGGAATGACAGGGAAATGTAACATACTGCTTCAAAAATTACATTTCCTTCAGTGGCTTTGTAATGTAGAATATTTTCCTTAAGTAACGACATTAGAGTTACAGTAAGCCTATTTATATTTTTACTCCCTATCTTTATATTTTTCCATTTCCATTTAGCTTTATATGTTCAATTTGATATACACCTTGTACTGCAGCTGGGGAGGACAAGTCCATCATTGTATTGTATCATTCATAATTAAAGTAACCAGCTAATTGTGAGCTAACTAATTGGTGTAAATGTTACGCTTTTGGGAATCGATCTTTCTTTTTTGTGAGTTTAGAAAGTGAAGGTGGAAGTAGAGGTAGCCCTAAGAATATACGGTTTGCTAGCTATTGCTATGTACCTCTTCTCTAACCAAGAGTGTGGAAAACGATTATCCATGGCAAAAGCAGTTTAGGAACATGAACCATTGTTTTTCAGTGGGTGTCTTGTACACTGCTTTTCCTTTCTTGAATCACTCCCCAGTAATGTTGATATGAAAATCCTACAAAGGTTTTCCTGCGTGCATTTGGACTTTGCTAATTTGGTTTCCAGCAGTCAACAAGCACAAAAATTTTCTCAGTCATATGTGAGTATCCTGCACTACCCTTTGGCAAAGATTTGCTTTAGGATAGCATACTGAAGACTATTTACCAAACCTTCGTTCATAAAATATCCTATAGTTCTCTTTCAACTGTATGTTTAATAATCAAAACAGAATACTCAGAATGTGCCTGCAGTGAGTAAACATGGTTTGCTGTGTGGTGGAACATCCTTTACGTTTTTGTTTCTCCTGTGTGAATTAGCAAAATTGTGTTTAAAAATTTGTTTCTAGTGTAAGCTATTCACACAACCAGTATACAACAGTTGCAACAATGGAGGTGTTACAAACAAAAAATAAAATTATCTTAGATAACAAGGCCTCATTCATGATGGTATCTCAATTCCTTACAACATTTAGAATATTTACTTTCAATACTTCCCTATCTTATGGAGATGTTATTTTATTCCTATTTTACAGTCAGAAAATGGAGACAGAGAGAGATGAATTAGCTGTGCAGATCACTGAAGAGATAGGATAATATTTTAACTGCAGAACGACTCTGCCTAGCTGCTGAGCTGCCCAGCTCCAGGCAGGCGGCTCGGCTCCCCTGAATGTGGTAGTGTCAGTGGGTCTCATGGCTGCTTTTATTTCTCAGTGGGAGTTTTGGTCCATATTTTCCCCATTTGGTTTGAAACAGCTCAGCCCTATAATGATACAGTTGGACAGAAAAACACTATGTACTTCCCAATGAATTTCTTTATTCCTCAGTGCTGAAGACCAGATTCCTAATTGTGTAATTGATGTGAGATAAGTCCTTCTGGAACAATTCTTTCAGTTATGTATATTTGGGTTATTATTTCTTTACTTGAATGTAATACTGTTACAGGTGCAGGGCCCGAATTGCCAGTGTGCACACAGAGCACTACCGCCATTATGCACGGGACAGCTGCCCTGGCTCTTGCACGCTCGTTTGCACAGCTATACGCGACGACGCAGGGCAGTAGCAAATCAAGTTGGCATTCCTGCAACTCAGAAAACAATAGTTTTAATTCTTTCATTACTCTTCAACGTTAAGTCTTTCCTAATACTGTCATATCTTCAGTGCATACCAGAATATCACTATTGCAATAATTATTTTGTTATTCATTTCTACCATAAAACATGGCATTTTCTGAATTTTAGTCAACAAATATTTAGATGCCTTTTCAGTAATATTACAAATATTTACTAGTGGACAACTTCAGAGAGCTCTGTAGCCATCAGCTGATTAACCTTGACAATATCTCAACTGAACTTGAGGTTTTGTCTGTTTTAATTATGCTGGAACTATGGAACATGTCAACAGTGGCAGTCTCTAAACTTAAACTTCATATATATGATTCTTTTTACAATTTCTAGAAGGTATATATTAAAAAATTGAAGCCAAATTTCTTCATTTGTGGGATAAATATAATTATCTCTTACTGAAAGGTAAACTAATCCCAAAAGTGTTAAAATTGCTGTTTTCTACCATTCCTACTAATTGGCACTTGAGACTTTGTAGCTTGAATGCCCAGAACAAACTAATTTGCTTCACCTGCACGCCTGGCACACGAGGCTCCTCACCTTGCTCAGAAGCATGCACAGACACTTCCACCACTCCTTTCTTGCAGGGCTCTGGATGAACAGTCATGCGAGGGGAAGACACTGCCTTTAAATGTTTCAGGCAAAAATACTACAATAGTGTTTTTTTTTCAGTTTTGATCACATCACAGGTTTACCATTATAATGGACTGTGTTATAAAATAATTAATATATTTTTGCAGTGCTAGTTTAGGAGAAGGTTTCTGTTTTCTTTGTGTATATGAAACCAATATATACCCTTTAAACAAAATGTTTTAATAGGGGAGCACCAACATAAACTGAAGCAAGGACCTGTAGGGATGTGAGTAATGAATGCAGCTCCCATGGCCACTGCTAGAATTTGTGCCTGAGGATCATTTCCTTGTGGCATTCCCAGGAGAGAGTGTAAGAGAGAGTGTGTGTGCTTACAGACCCTTGGCTGGGAAAGAAAGCTTTCCAGAGGAAAAGGAGGAGTGCTCAATAGGGGGAACTCGGGGCTGGACCATCCATAGATGAGAAGAAAGCCAGTCAGAGGAAAAATGGTTTGAGACATCTTCATCAATTCTAACTGCAGCTGGCAAGTTGAGGGGAAAGAGGAGACTTCACAGGACTGCATCACATTTCCGTGCCACTCCTCTGCCGGCAGCCTGGCCTGAAGTGGATCCTGCGGCAGGGGCTGTGCAGGTTCAGAGTTAGAGGTCAGGATTTCTGTAAAGGATGCTGTGACCACACAGCAGCCTCGTGAGCTCTGCACACTCACTTTCCCTGTATGGGCCACAGAGGAGAAATCTGATGGACTGAGGCTGGGCAGGTACTTTGACTCGGCTCCTTTCTCTGACAGATACAGAGATGATGAAGTTCATTGCACCCGGAATGGAAAGACTTGGTCCTATCCCTTGTAACAGGTCAACGTGAGAGCAGTTGGATCAGGATTGAGTCAATTGTAAAGAATGTAACAATGTCAGAAGGCCTTCTGATAAGAAAGCACAGTGAAATTTCAGCTAGTTGTATCAGCAAAATGAGCTGGCATCACCATATAGCAGGTTGAACACAGGGTATTAATGGCATTTTCAAATTTAACCAGAGTAATATTCTGTACCTACAGTTCATACAAGTTTCACAAATAAATTTTATTGTATCTATTTTCAAATAGGTCAGAAAAATATTGTATCTTTAAACAAATCCTGTAAACAGTAGAGAACATTTTTAGCTTGGACCTAAACTGAAATTTAACTGAAAAAGCAGTAGTCATAGCTTTTGTCCTATGATTAGTTAGTGACTAGTTAGATAATAAATAATGCAAGAGGTAGAAATCATGGAAACATTATTGCGGTATGCAGCTATCATTTCTTCTGAAATTACATTTTTTAATGCAATATGGGCTTTTAATACCATTTGAGCCTCTTTTTCCAACATCATTCCAGGACTGAAAAAATATAAAATGAGACTGGCATAGGAGCTGAATCATTTGAGAAAGAAGAGTAAGAAAGAGGGACAGTCTTTTTTGAAAAGTGAGAGCACTGCTGAGACAAGACATGAGAAAGTTCCCGAGGGAGCCCTCTGAGCCCGCAGGAAGGCAGGGTGCTGTGCTGTGTCGCCTTCTGCACACAATGGGAGATGGACCTGAGATACCAGGGTGCTGAAACTCGCTAGTATGTGTTCATCAGATGCTTGATTTATATCTTGTCCTGACAAGTACTTCTGGGAGTGAGGGCAGTCGAGGATTCTCAGGGGCCGCCAAATTTGTAGGCATCTTTATACACAGCCAGCACTGAATGACTCCCTCCTGTCCCAAGCAGACTGTTTACACAGAGAATTGCAGGAGAGGGAAAGAGGAATGCTTCATAGGCATGCAGAGGACACTTTTCATGATTGGGGCTACTTTTTTAACATGTTACCATAAAACATCTTCACCAGTTCAAGCTTTGATGAATTTGTGAGTTTGCTTTTGCTTTTCTAAACACTGCAGCTCTTTAAATGCTACCCTGTTATATTAAACTATTTCAGGTTTGGTTTCAAAATGCTCGAGCCAAATTCAGACGGAACCTCTTACGTCAAGAAAACACAGGGGTGGATAAGACTTCAGATTCAACACTCCAAGCAGGGACCCCATCAGGTCCTGCATCAGAAATATCCAATGCCTCCATGAGTCCATCCAGCACTCCCACTACTTTAACGGACTTGACTAATCCTACCATGCCTACTGTGACATCTGTCTTGACGTCAGTGCCCGGAAGTCTTGAGGTTCATGAATCTCGAAGTCCTTCACAGACAACTCTTACAAACCTTTTCTGATGACTCTTTCTTAATAATTTCTTTAAAAAAGAAATTATTCTTAGTTGAAATTCCAAGTGTATTTTAATAGAGGCTTTGAGCAACTGACTAACCACAATTAGGATCTCTCCTAAAAAAAAAAAAAAAAAAAAAAAAAAAAGAAGGAAATGTAGTGTTCTGGTATTACGGAGTGTGGACTGAAGAATAACTTGGAAGATCTATTGCAACACAACATTTGTGTAACTGTACAGTTTTGTGGACTGAGCAAGGGAAACAGCAATTAATTTAAGTTGGCTAAAGCTTCTGTATTTTCAAAGACTGCCATGTGCCTTATATACTGTTTTATCTACATACTTTGGATTCCATGTCCACTTCTCTTTTTCTCTCTGTATATTTATGACCAGGGCAAAAATGTCAAGAGTTTGTTACTTTGAATAGTCCTAAGCCTTTCATTGGTTGCTTTGTTGTTTTAGAATTTTAAGGTCAAAGTCTGTTCGAATACCAGAATTTGTAAAATCTAACCAGTAATAAAACCACTTATGGAAACTACTTGGTAATGGCTGCAGTTACATTTAACATGAGCTTCACAATCAAGATAGGCTGATTGTATTTAAAAGGATTAGAAAATTGCACTTCAAACACGGTATCTGCCTAGGATAAACTCTAAATATGATGTATACAAGTTCCTCTTGTTCCTGAAGTCTGTATGGGTGAGAAGTCCACCCCGTACAACCGTCTAGGTATATTCAGTATAGAGAAAAAAAAAACTGTTAGTTGCAGATAGAAATTATCAGATAATGTTAAAGTTAAAACAGGCAAAATATACTTAATTGTGTTGTGTGAAAGAAACGACTTCAGCCAGCATTTACGAAAACAATCTTGCTTTTGTGCAAGAGATAGCTTGTCCTATTTCATGGAGGAGACAAGCTAGGTATCCGACAGCCGTGTGGCCAGAAATGGTTTACTACAGAGGTGGACACTGGGTAATACTTTCCCTAGGAAGAAGACAGAAGTATTTCAGGTTATTTTACAATATTGGTGGGCAAAAATGAGGCAAAATTATGTCTTACAGAGTCACAGCCTGACATTTTTTGTAATGCTTTGAGGGAATAGAAAACCAAGGAAGAATATTATCAATACTAAAAAAGTGGATATTCCTTTAACTATTACAGATCTTTCAATATAACTGAATTCCTTCTCCAGAAAAAAAAAAAAAAGTGCAAAATATAATTCATATTTTGAGTTCTTTTCCTGTTGTTTTTAAAGATGCTTTTCCTGTAATTAAAGAAATACCTCAGCAAAGTTTAAATATGTATAAGAATGAGTATACGCTATGCTGTTTGCCCAGTAGTTTTATAGATTTTGAGTGGTACATAACATGCATATGGTTGTTCCTTTTCAAACCTGTTAAAATCAGTTTTTTTCAGTCAAACTCTAGGTTGTATGTGGCTAGCTCTCTAAAGCTAATCTGTCATTCCCATTGGATCAAAATTGCTAAAAGATTTTCCAAATAAACAGCAAGATATGTGCCAAGATTTGCGTTCTTTGCCCTTTTCAGAGCACTGAAGATAATTTATTAGGCCAGACTTTTTGGTAACAATGTTTTGGTTTTAAAAGCGCTATATTTATTCAGCTTTCTCAACTGAAAATTTGCCATTCTCATGCAAGCCAAATTTCTTTTGAGCTCAGTGAGAGATCTCAGAGAATGAGGACTGTGGGATAGAAATGCTGACATAATTAGGTCATTTATTAACCTTTTTTTCCACACTTCTGCTTAAAAAAATACAGGTGAGTTATCTGAAAAGCAAGATAGTATGAAAAATCATAACTAGCTTAGATCTGTGAAAGAGATTACGCTCTGGTCTCCAAAACCAATAGACTAGCATAGTTCTTTACGTTTATTCACTATGATGAAACATTTGAAAAAATGAGTTCAGGTTTAATTAATAGCCTTTACAGATACATCCAAGACATTTTTTCCTCGTATTATAAATGTCTAATAAGTCAATTGTACTGGTTAGTGGACTGTAAGAGTATGTATCTGCCTTTCACAGACATTCAGACACAGATTCTGCTGTATGTAATGTTTTGCTCATTGTCAGCTACCTTGGAGATTTTATTTTTTTGACATGCTTTGCTGTATCTCTTCTTGATTTAAAAGGCAATGTTGGTCCAATGTTAAAAGGATACAGCCCATAATTAGAAATCCTGTGTATTAACCTGTAAGCAGATTTAAAAATCAGAATCTTGAAGTGTTACAGCAAATGTAGGCGGATGGTTCTTATTTGTGATCTTGTATTTTAACTACCTGAATCCACGTGGATGGAAATACCTTTCAAAACAACTCTTAATATTGCCTTTTCAAATAACTGAAATTTATGAAGGGGAATACTCTAGTGTTAATATTATCTGAAACCTATAAGAGACAATTAGATAATTGTCTGGTTTAATCAAATCAGGGATTTTGCATATAAATAAGAGACAATATTCTATGTAGGGTCTTTATGTAGGTACATTAGGATTCACTCACTGGCTCCAATGACCTATGTTGTCCCCATGATTGTTTCAATCCTGTGGTATTGTTTGGTTGTTTAGAGCTTGTTGGTTTTGAATGCTGTACATTTTTTTACTACTGCAATCCTAATGTTTCTTCACATACTTGTACAGTTCCACATTTGATGTATTAGTCTGAAATTCTGTTAAAAACATGAACAAAAATGGAAATGATATTTCTTTGGAAGTGTATTTTTACTGTATATCTAATTTGAACTAGTTGAACATACTTCTTTACATTTTGCATGATAGGTGTGTAGTTCATTTTTTAATATGAAAGAGACTTAAGAGTAACTTAGAATGAGAATATAATGAAACCTATACAAATATGGAAAATACATACAATGATTTGCTACTTTTTGACTCAAGAAACTTTTTGAAATACATTTTACCTAGTTTATTTAAGATAATGCAGATATTTTGTCTCTGAGTTCATAAACAATAAAGAATATAAAAGGGGATTATGCATTAGAAAAACTTCCAAGTCACTTGGCAGCAAACTGGATTTTTCCTGTCAAACAAAGAGAGAACATTTGATTTTCAGGATACTGAATAGACATACATGTACTTTGTTATGAGAGATAGTGTTACTGTAAGCGGTACATAATCACAACTTAAAATCCATTGATACTGTTAATACTTACATTTCATAAAACATATTTCTTAGTTCATATTGTCTAAGTTTGGGGAGAGAAGACCAAGGATCTATACTAACAAAGAAGCTGAATGCTTGCTCTGGAAGCAAAAGTGAATTTATAAAAAACACTGTGGATGGAGAAAGGGCCTCTAGGATATTCTGATTTCCAAATTATCATTTCTTACATTTCTTACTAACTGTTAAGGACACATTTAGAGCACTTTCCTATAACTGCCTTTTTTTTTTTTTTTCCTTTAGAAGGTAGAGATCAAAATTTAGACACCTGTAGTAACCATCTCCTTTTATCAAAAGAAAAAGAACAAACAACAACAAAAAAAAGGTATGAACCGGAGTTGAGATTTAGGCATGATGGTAGCAAGGCCATCCAACTAAAAGAAGTTCCAAGTGTACATGCTTATGGTCTTCACAGTGACTTAATAGTCCTTGGAAGGAGAGATTTGCATTGAAAGTAGCTGAGTTACAATTTATCCCTCCTATTAGGGAGGCTCTAACCATTTAAATCATTCCTGGTAGCAATTATTTCATCCATAGCTAATATGGAAAAGATAGTTCTTTGGAAGTGTAGTTAGCACTATGAGAGTGCTAATATCTATAGTAAAATAATGATCTGTGAAATGAAAGTCTATGCATTTTCCAGACCACTTTGACCTGCATTTGAAAAGGCTACAGAGTGAAATGCATGTGCAACATGTCCAATTCACCTTAGCAGCCAGGGTTTGGTTGGGTGTGAAATGCTCAAGCATCTGCTATTTGCTGCATACAGTTTATGCAGTTACCAGCTCTGTGCATTTCTGCTTTCCAAGATTGCAATATTACATCTCACTTTCCAGACCTACGAGTCCTTTTTGTCTTGTCCTGCAAGCGAGTTGACTGGAACTCTCCTTATTCCATTACTTGAAATCATTATGCCCAAGTCTGCAGCATCTTTGTTTAAAGAATTAAATCTAGCAAACCACACCAGTTGTTCACACACTCCCATACATTGCATTTATGGCTGATCAGAGTCTCTGATACCATACGTTACTGCCCATGTAGACAGCAGGGGTGATGAATCATGGTCTGTCCTCATCCTAATTAAAGAGAATCAAAAGAATTAGGTTTTTGATCTATAGTTGATAAATATGTGTTTTACGAGTATCCTAGGACTGGAAAATCACTCAAAGAGGGAATAAAGAGGGCATCTTTCTGACATTCAGGAAGCTGCCATGATTATGAAGACAAGCAACGTGGCAGCTGGACTGCAAGTGCTCGTGTTTTCACTTCTCTAAGTGGAGAGATGGTCCTTCATTCATTGCAGGACTTAGCTGGGCTGCTTAAAATTATGTGGTTTCAGTCTTGAAAGTGAAGAATCAAGTTTGAATCTCTCATGACGTTAGGTGAGTTACCAGTAATTTGTCTGAAAGTTACTGTTGATGGAGGCAGGATGGCTCCACTGAATAGCAGAATGTTACCTTTTACAAGGAAATACTCTGCTGATGCAGCATTTATCCCACTGTTCTGTGGGGCGGTGCTGCTA